GGGGGGGGGGTGAAGGGGGCTTCAAACTCCGTACGGCCCGCGGCAGCGTAGGGGAAAGCGCGGCGGAGACGACACCCGGCCCGTAAAGCCACCGCCGCCCAGCCAATCACGAAGAGGGGAGAATGATATTCAGGCGGCCACCGCGCAAAGTGCGCGAGTTACGCCCCTGTCGCGGGCGGGGGCGAGGAGGAGGAAGTGGAGGAGGACGTGGAGGATGTGCAGGACGTGGAAGACGAGGATGAGGTGGAGGACGTGGAAGAGGAGGAGGAGGACGAGGAGGAGGTGGAGGACGTGGAAGACGAGGAGGACGTGGACGACAAGGGGGACGTGGAAGACGAGGAGGACGAGGAGGAGGAAGGAGGGCGCCCGCAATCTCCGCGTCGTTTCGAAGGACACCAAGTCCCCCCGCAGCCGAGCGCGCCCAGCGCCCAGCGTTGGAGCCCAAGTATGGGGGCACCCGCGTCTCCCGCCAGACGCGGAGGCCCCAAAAGGGGGGGCCGGCCGCCGTGTCCTTCTGCCGCTGCTGCTGTTGCTGCTCCCTGCTGGCCGACCAGCGGCAGGACGCGACCGCGCGGGAACCTTTTAGAGGCACCTCCGCGTCACACGGTCAAAGGACACACCACACCACCACACCGCAGCAGAGGAACAAGCGTTTTTATTATTATAATACTTTACTTCTCCGTAGTTAGTACCCCCTCTTCCCAAAAAGACACACACTCACGCACACACACACACGGGTGGGTAGGTAGGTAGGTACGAGTTTAAAATCTCCCGCGCCATAAACCCATCACGAGCCCCGTGACCCCGTAAGGACCGGACCGAAGGGGCCGTACGCCGCTCAGCGCCGCTCATGCCCCGCCCCGCCCCGCCCCGCCCCACCCCGCCCCGCGGGACTTTACGGCCACTGCGCCGCCGCGAGTCGCTGAGGTGTTCAGGCGAAGCGGCGGCGGCGCGTGGTCCAAAGAGTATACGGTACGCACCGAGGGGCACGTACATAGTCTTATGGGGCGGGAACCGCCATCATGGCGCCGGCCCGTAGTGCGTGTGTGTGTGTGTGTGTGTGTGTGTGTGTGTGTGTGTGTGTGTGCGCGTGTTGCAGTGCTCCACGCACGGCATGAACTCTGCACGGACCATCACACACACACACACATAGGCCTACGCGCTGAGAGGTTTGTTCGGACGCGCTGAACGGTGCGGAGGGAAAGGCCAACGCAGACGCCGCGGCGCACGTCCAAAAAGGCTTAAGGTTTCTCTGCTGATTTGCAAAGCCAGTTTGGGTGCCTTCCCTCGTGATCGTGTCAAACCGCGCGCCGCGCGAGTCGTCACATATTATCTATTTAATTTTGTTTTTCGCAGAAGTTGATACTAAAAGCCTGTGCGTGGTTTTGATATCCGCGCACGACGCCCCGTTCGTGATCGGTTGATGGTCTGACCGTGGCTGGTCGCCCTGCTATGCTCCAGGTAAAGGGTCCGAGGATCGGAAATGCCAACGGCAGGGAGGCCCGTCGGTACCACCCGGAGGTACCACCCACTGCCTCGGGGATATCGGCAGCACCAGTTATTTTATGATTCGGTTTCGCTTCATCGTATTCCCACGTTTCACCAGGGAGGGTATGATGACCATCTTATCGAAAAAAAGGGGGAAAATACCCCCCTCCCCCTCTCACAAAAATAATACCCACGAAATGAAATAAAAATAATCATCAAGACGTCTCAACTCACCTTGAGCGCGCAGAAGATACACGATTCTTGCATACAGGCATGGCCGCTGAGTTCTCTGAAGCTCCGCCGGAAGATGTCCAAGTGCCAGAGGACCTGGTGGTGGGGAAAGAGACAAAACGAAAAAACGGATGAGAATACAGCGAAAAATGCGTTAATTGAGCAAAGCGTCGAGCGAGCGTATTTTTCGCTTTCATTATTTCGTCTCATTTGGTAGCAGAGCGCGGTACCAAGTCCATTCATCACAGGGATTTTGCTGTCACTCGCTCTCTCTCTCTCTCTCTCTCTCTCTCTCTCTCTCTCTCTCAGCAAACAGAAGGACCTGTCGCTCGTTCCCCTTATTACATCCAAAAACAAAAGAAAAGAAGAAAACGGCTTCCTTTTCAACGCTTAAAAAACAATTGCTGCGCGGGTAAAATCAAGACATTTCACAATGCAGTATAACAAAATGATATCACGAGGCGAAGACGCAGCAGGTGCTGCTCCCACTCCGCTGCACCATGCTTGGGCCAGAAATACGACGACGTCTCGGTGACTCGGTGGAAGAGTTCGAAGTGGAGGACGAAGAGTAGGAGGTGGAGGACAGGGAGTAGGAAATGGGGGTGGAGGAGTAGGAAGTGGAGCTGGAAAAGTAGGAAGTGGAAGAGTAGGAAGTGGAGTTGGGAAAAGTAGGAAGTGGAGGTGGAGCAATAGGAAGTAGGGGGGTGGGTGGAGGTAGTAGCCCCTGGTAACCAAACAGGCTCCCCTGCTCCGGCGCCCGCTCGCCGCTGCTCACCATGGAGACGGTTATGGCGGGGGGTCGATGGCACGGCCAGCCGCCCCGGGGAGGTGGGCGTCGGCGGCGGGCCCGGGCGCGCGCGGGCTCCGCAAGACCACCGGCGGCCCCGGCCAGCAGACCCGGCTGGTGTGCTGGCGTGCTGCACAGAGCGCCGTTCCTCTTGAAAATATACGACTGTGTGGAGACTCTTGATCCCCTCACCCCACCCCACCCCCTTGCTCGCCAGGGCGCTCCCACGCGTCCATCCGCCGCCCCGCCCCGCCCCGCCGCGGTTCCCACAGGGCCTCCGCACTTGACTCTCGTGGCTGGCGGGTTCATTCATTCGAACCTCATCACACCACCGCCGCCACCACCAGCCACTACGGCCCAGAAAACAAAAAAATAAAATAAAGAAGAGAGAAAATTCTACGTAAAATAATAAAAAGTATTTAAATTTCGCGTCGGTTGGCCAGTTAAGTGCGTGTGTGTGTGTGTCGGCTGCTGTAGAGGCGGCTTTGTCTTTGGCCGTGTCAAACCCTTTCGCCACATTACTCAGCCGCGACAGGACAGGCCTAAAGCCGCTCGCGCTGCCGCCGCCGCCGCGGCTCAGAGGCGATCGGCGGAACGAATATAGCAGACAAGGCGCGCTGCGCGGGTCGCAAGAGGCGGCGGACGGGGAAACCCACGTATCTTCGCGTAAAACCACGGCAAGATCGCCGCGCGGGGCGCGCGACTGCGTATCCCGTCGGAGCTGACCATCTGCAACGCCACGCACTCGCTGCGCGCCCACGAGCCGACTGTCACCCCCCCCCCCCCCCCCCCCCCTCTCCCTTGTACCCTCCATCCGCCAACAGACCCGTCTGCTCGCTGCTGCAATCGCAGCCAAAAATCTGCCACAACGACCAAACGTCAGCCGCGTCGGCGGCCGTCGAGGGGGCGCGAGCGTGTGCTGTTAATAATAATTACCACCGCAAAATGTTTACCGAGTGAAAAATTTACAAAAACATACAAAAGAAAAGTTAAAAATTTAGTTGTTGAAATGAGAATAATTTTGAATTACAACAACTCCCCTACCAGAAAATAAACGGAAAACTGAATGAATGAACACTGGTGTGCCAGTGCTAGTATGTTGACGGTGTGGCCGCGGCCGCGGCCGCCTCGGCCCCTTGAGCCGCGTCCTCTTCCCATGGTGCCCCCTGGCCGGGGCGGACGGGCCTTATGAGGCTCCACCCCTCCCCTTCTTTGCATTTCCCACGGTGTGCCCCCAGGCCCTGCGTCCAGCCGCTACCGTGCTCTACTCTCTCTCTCTTTCTCTCTCTCTCAGAGAGTCCGCTGGCGCTGCTGCTGAGCCGCACTACTCTGAGGCGCCGGACAGCAGCGCGAAGCTCAGCAGTAGCTATGGACCCGCGCGGCGCGCTCCGGTTTTGGCGGGAGGTTCTGCGCAGATTGCAGACTTGCGGGAACGCCACTGCGGCTGTCCCACGGAACTGCTGCTCACTGTTCACGGCGTGCGCGCGAAAACAGTGCCAAACGCAGCGCTTTTGCAGTCCCCCCGCCGCTCTTCCAAAAGGGGAGAAAAGAAACTGCGGACGAAGAGTTTCACCAGGCCTTATTATTTGCTCCATTTCTAACTCTAATCAGAGCCACACTTCGGCCAACATTCTGGCGAAACTCTAATCATGTCAGACTAGTAAAGCACCCCGGACAGCATTTAGAGAGATCGCATTTCGCACGGCACAGTGTACCGAGAGGTGCTAAGGTTACAGCGGGGCGGGGCGCGGTGGCGCGCTCGGCGCTGGCGCCGGGGCG